ATAAGACTGTTGTTTACACAGTTTCACACTGTATAGCCTCCACGAAAGAAAGAAAACTGAATGGTATAGTGAAAACCCATCTCTATTCACTATAGAGCCCATTATATTGTACTGCCTAGTGAATAGTGAATGAGTGAATGACTTTGGGTGCAGCCATGATTATATGAAGTGTTGCAAAACATTTTTAAAATTGTGGAGTTTTCTAATTTAATCATTTTGTTCACACATTTGACTACTTTTTTTGTAACATTTTGTTGCTCAGTTTACTTTACTTTTATTTCATGTGTTATAGTTCATATTGAGATCTTTGCCCCTCTAAGAGGAGATAAGGAGCAAAGTCTTCAGATATTTAGATTTGACTTTTTGTTTACAGTGTTTTCAGAATTTCACATTTGTTAAAGCTTGAGCATTTAAGAAGTTTGGATGTTTTGTTGTGCTTCTTTGATGTATACCAACCCTTTTACCACAAGGACAGAAATGTTTTATTTGTATAGCACATTTCATACACAAAGAAAATTCAGTATTCTTTACATAATGCATTAAAAACCTTAAAAATGAAGAAAAACAGCATAAAAACATTAAAATGCAAATTAAGGAGAAGAAACCCTTTAAAGGAAATTAAACATTGATGACAGGGACATAAATACAGGATAGGAGAGCAAGATGGTTCATAGTTAATATTTAATGTCCAGTCAAAGACAGTGCAAAACATAAAAGTTATTTATTTAGATTTAAAGGTGACCAAAGTTGGTGGAAGTCTAATATCTTCTGGGTGTTTGTTCCAGCTCTGTGGCGCACAGTAACTGAATGCTTCTTCTCCATGTTTAGTTTGCACTGTGTATCTAATTCAGTGTGATGGTGTCCCCATTCATGAACTGGTTCTGTATAGGACTTAACTTTATTTTAGAAAATCATTATATTGGAAAGTCATTAGTATATACAGCTCCCCCTCACACACACTCCCTGTGCATGTCTGCATGTATTTGCATTGTATGTCAATATGAAAGTGTGCAGAGGCATGACATGAGTGTGTGAATGCACATCTGCCTCTCTATCTCCCTCTCTCCCTCCTTACATACATGCTCAATCATACTGGTGACAGTTCCAGTCCCAGTATACAGGGCTAGGAGGATGAGGTGGGGGGTGGGAGAGGGTCGGTCAGAGGTTTGAATTGCAAATCCACTGCCTTCTGTTGGCGTCCAAGCCTTCGCAGGCCCTTCCCTGTCTGCATTCATGTGTTAATGAGGAGTCAGTGCAGGGGCAGATAGACAGATCGACCAGGGGCTTGGCGGGGGTGAGGGGAGAGTGAGGCGTGGGTGGGTGGGTGGGGAGGCAGGAGGGAAAGCGAAGGGGGTCTCTCTGACCGTGGAGGCCACGGTGGAAGTTTTGAAAGATGATGAAGACATGATAAGTGCCACTGGTGGTTGTGGCCTTTCGTTATAGCTGTGATGAGGAGTGTACAGCCATGGGGCAAGCTCAGAGGGAGGCAAAGAGGCGCAAGATGGAGGGTGGGTGGGATTGTTATGGCTGTAATGTTCATGAGGTACCCAGGAATGATCACACCATCACCGGGTGTCGCGTCACATTTGCTAAGCTGCCTTGAGGTTCAAGTACAGCTGTGGTACGCCGTGCCTCTGTTGTACCCTGATGGACTTCTTTTGCTTTCTTCATTTCACTTTAACAAAAATGAGCCTTGACATGTGTTTGAGGTGTACACAAACAGATTCAATACTTACATTTAATATGACTTGTTTTAAATTTGATTTTGAATCAAGATGAATTTGAGATATTTTAATATTTTAAACAAATGCATCCAGTTAAAGATGATGTGAAATAGCTACCTTAACGTTTACGGCTTACCGTTTACTCCATCTTGTTCTTAATGCTGTGTTTTTAAAACTTGAAAACACAACACCCGGTTAAAATGATTTGTCTTCATCATCCAGTGCCAGTATTCACAAACCATTTAAACCCTTAAAATTATACACCCTGGACTCACTAAAAATGTGATTCACTGCCTAATTCATGAGGTCAAACATTTCTTTATTAGATTATTTTTAATATGGCTACTAGTTTATCTTCTGAAGGAGTTGTTGTAACCTCTGACATGACAAATACTATGTTTTTTCCCTTTTATTTTATCAGCTGTTTCCAAATATCCCACCCAAACCTCAGTCGTCTTCATCTCAGCCTCTCATACTCGAACTCGGATGTGATTCTAAACATTTCTTGAAATTAGATGGACGTCAGAAGTCAGTGCTACGCTACCAGGCACCAGCTATAGAGCAGCCAGGGTCACACATGATCAGATGACAATGACCCACACAATGGATTAGCTATAAAAGGACTGGGGGGAGAGATTAGGGGTGAATTGATGACGGTTGGCTGGCTGGTTGGCTGGCTGGCTGGCAGGCCTGGGAGATCTTGGGTCTGTTTCAATAAGGGACATAAAGAGCTGAAATTAACATGTACCATGATACCAAGCAGAGAGAATCCTCTTAGAGATTACATCCATAACATGTTACGCCTATGGAACTGTATGTAAAGGGGAGACAAAGAGCAGAGCGAGTGATAATTTTCTATTGTGGCAGATTATGGGGCATCCTATTCGGCTCTTTTCTCTTTCACTCTATTGTGTTTTGTTTTGTTATCTTCTTTTCTCTTTTACGTTACAGCTTTCTTAAAGTCACAAATGCAGTAAATCTTCTACTTTCTGTTTTTTCCCAGGAATTTTTTCACCTGGAATAAACTGGGCCCCCTTCAGTGTAACAGCTGCCAGGCCGCACTACTGCCTCCATCATGCAGGGGGTAGGCAGCAAGTCTTTCTGTAACATCTGTGTTGTGGCACACATACACACACACGTGTTGACAAAAGCACACGTTGATACAAAAACACACGCTTGCGCACATACGGACACACGCTCACACATGCGTGGGTACACACACGCGCACAGTCCATCTGTCTTTGTCTCCCTCCCACTGCCATCACCGTGGGTCTGTCTGCAAAACAATGTGTGATGCTTGGTGCAACACGCATGCTCAATACATACGGTGAATTTTCAGTAAAACATGAGACACACTGCAGATTTTTATGCACATTACAACACTACTAAAGTAGCTAAAGTGCACAGAGGGATGATGATCCAGGAAATGCGGACCAACAAAGATGTTCTGGTCTACATGAGGAGGAATCACTGAGCCTCAGGACTGCCAGTCATATAATCTGGACCAAGAACCAGGATGCTCATGACTGCAGTTGACTAGAAGAAGGAGGACTGTGAACTGTATAGAGGAGAGGGGTCAGCTTGCTTTGGCAGTGAAATGATGACCCCTAGTGTCTATTAGTGTACATTACAAGAGAGCTGCTCCTTCAGGACAAGGCTCTTTAACTTTTTATACTGATCAACTGTGGAGTAGATGGTGCTAAGTTTGGAACTCACTGATCATGTTCATTATCTTGATCTCTTCCTCGTGTAGCAAGAAATTTAAAAAGAAAGCTCCCTTGTGTGTTTATATAGCTTAGAGGTGCAGTGTAGCATCTAGCAGTGAGGTTGCAGAACTGAAACATCTCCATGTGCCAAGGGAGTAGGAGAACTACGGTGGCCAATGTGAGAGCACAACTTGTAGAAAAAACTCCCGTACACTGGCTAACTTGCAAAAATAATGATTTTGATAATGCAGACAAACCCTGATGAAGGTCTAGTCACAGAAACATGACTAGACTAAAATGAAAAGCATTCGTTTTGCAAGTTAGACAGTATACAGGAGATGTTTCTAGTTGTGTTCGCACCTGTTTGGAAATAGATGGCTGAATTATTCCTTTGTTCATCTTGAAAACACAAAGCATGAAAACATGAATGGCCCTATTTAGAGCCAGTGTTTGATTTGTCTGCTCTGGGCTACTGTAGAACAACAGAGCAGACTCCATGGGAGAGGACCCGCTTTGTATGCAGATATAAATGGCTCATTATAAGGTAAAGTAAACTCAATGATTGTTTTTTTTTTTCAGGCGACTATAAACTAATAAAAACACAGTTATGAATACTTTATACCATCTCTACCAATAGATGCCCCTTAATCCTACACACTGGACCTTTAAAGGGTAGCCTAGGTGTGGCAATATTTATTTCACTTTTTATTTTTTTATCAAAAAAATCCCATTAAAGCACCCAAACAACAATGTCATCAGTCGTGATACTTTCCCAGACTGTAACTCAGCCCTGTTTGTTCCTAATGAAGATTTCAGTTGTTAAAAAATAGGTTTAAAAAGACCAAATACTTTCAAAAGACCAAAAAAAGCTTTTATATTTTTTTGTTTTTACTCAAACAGGAGTTAATAGTGCTTTAACTGTGGACTAACTTCAGCCGCAGATGATGCTATAGAGAGTATTTGCATCAGTATATATGTATAAGCTGTGTTTGTAGGATGGACTCAGAACAAACGGCAGTGTCCATGTTCATTGTGATGCAGGAACATGTCATCCAGCAGTGTCAAAAATATCAATTTATATCGATTCTGAATATTTGAAATTGTTTCAATACTCATTTTCCGCAGTATTGATACACCAGTAGCAGCTGTGCTTTCTTGCTCTCTTATTGTGAATGTTTACTACAGTCATTCTGCTGTTCTCTACTAACCAAGTGAAGCAAAGTTGTTCTTGCACTTGAAATTTTAAAGTTAATGCCCACAGTTTTTTTTCCTGTGGCATTCAAAATGGTGTTGAATAAGTTATTGTATTTAAGCTAGAAATTCCAGTATTGTGACAATACTATCACCTGGTGCAACAGTGTAGGTTACTGATGTTTTTTAAAGTCTTTGTGTCTTTGTGTGTTGTGTCACCGAGTAATAAGCTGTATCAAGCTTTACTATATAGGTAACACTTAATTGTTGGTTTAGGCCTTTTTACTGGTTTTAATGGCTATAAACAACACAGACAAAACAATAGCAGCAAAATACATGTACCGGTATGCTTTTACTTCTGAACAAAACCAAACTCTTCGACACAAGCAATCATTTTATTTGAAAAAAGTGAATTGCTATGTACAGTATACGTAAAAAACAAAAAACATGAGATCGGTCCTGAAACATTTCTTGTCTTTTTGCTTTTCGCGTTCATCTCATACAGTCCTGTTGTAAAAAAAACAGGAGAATCCACACACTGTCAGAGCATTCCTGTACAGCATTCAACAACAGCGGACAAATAAAAACATATTACATCATCATCATCGTCATCACTTTTTCATCATCAGTGTTATCAGATACCAAACCTAAACCAGTAGGTTTGATATCTAATAACACTGATATCAAACATTGGTCTCAAAACACATAGAATAAATGTGTTTTCTTGTGTATGTGTGTGTGTATGTATTCCTGTTGTTTTTATTACAATTAATGATTCTGAGTTTTTTGCTGACTAAAGATCGCCCCCTGTTGGACCACAGTGGGAACTGGCACATGGCTCCTCTGTACAGGCTCAGACGAGAAAGCGAGACAATCAAACATCCATTTAAGAATCTCTGATATGCAACTCTCGGGTAGACGGATATTTGTAGAATTTTTTCTGCTTGATCGATATCTGATATGACTGTAGTTCATATGTAGATTATCAGTTTGGATAGAGTTAGGAAGAACAAAGGATTATACATGTCAGGGGGCAAAGAGGGAGTATTGTGAATAGGTGTTTCTCAGGGGTCTCAACCTTGGTTGAAATGATTGCATAGCTCTGAGAGTCGGCGAAAGCGCTCTCAAGCCCACGTGCTGCAAATACAGCGATGATTTAACACTAACAGTCAACCGAAATAAAAACCCATAGCAATAAAAGGATTAGCTCTACTACTGCGACACAAACTCAGAACATAGGACCAGAAGACATTCTCTGGTAGGGTTGTGGTCACCGTGTTTGGGAATTTTGTGTATCATTCATTGATTTTCAAACTGGAAAAAAAAGTTTGGTATCATTCAAGATCATTCAGGATTATCCAGACATGAAATATTTTCATCTGCATATTTCTCAAGTTGACATATTATGTTTAAATCAGTAGTTTAAAGCAACATTTGACTTGGTGCATGCATCAACCAGTTATTTCTGCAACTTTACAAACTGAAGCTGGAGTCGTACCAACATATGTTCATAAATGTTTATACACTAAGTGAAACATTGCTTAAACTAAATTTAAAGAGTACACATCCGCCTCTTTAGTGCCATTATTAGCAATATTTTGTGCACAAGACACACAATATCAAATGTGTTAGTCAAACAGCGACAACAGAGGGAAGCTGCTTTGTCCTCTTAACATTTTTAACAACTCACAAAGCCCTCGTGTTTAAGTTGCTGCATCACTTCTGCAAATGTTTCATTTCTGATACATTTATTAATGCATGCCTGATACATTTTTAATGGGACTCAATGGGACTGCTTGATACATATTTAATGAGGTTTTATGAATATGGTTCCTTCCGAATGAGCACTGACAGATCCTCATGAGTTTGGTGAAGCGATGTCCATGATGTTTAGATCGTCTTTGATCATGACAAATAAATAGACAAAAAAAAAAATACATGAAACATTAATGACTTACAAAAATGAAGGAATGTAAACACACATACACGCGCACACACACACACACACACACTCAATCACACATATGAACATCTATATATGAGCTATGCAAGTTATTGTTAGCATTTCTGCTACAGTGTGTGACAGCAGTTGTTTGCAACAAGAGAGAGTCTGTTGTTTTTGTTTTAAATTGGAGCAAAGCCAAACTCTGCAGCTCTGTTCGGCCCTCGGGACGCTCCGTACACATGTTACTGTTTGTACCAAGCAGAGGAGCTGGTCAGTCTCCTCCCCCGTCTTCTTTTCCACTTAGCTCGACTCTTCCCAGACGCCATTTAAATATTTTAGCGCTAAGTGAGGAAGTCCACAGGGAGGAACAGAAAGAAGTCCACAGTGAGTGCAACACGTTTTACAAGTGAGACCCTCTTCTTTCTATTGCTCACTCCACATGCTCCGTTAGCTGCCTCTTCATTCACTCTCCACCCTCCCAAGTGTTCATGCTGGACTCTTCCACATCATCCTCTGCGATGCAAAATAAGACCATACCACAATGAGTGGTGAGTGCAGATGGGGGTGTTTTGGCGACGGTGGGTGTCGGGGCAGATGCTATAGCTCGCTGTGGCGCACAGGAGGCTCTAGCTTGTGTGACAGAGCTGTGAGGACCTTGTCGAACTTCTCGTAACGCTCTGATTGGCTGCCCTCAGAGCCGCGGCTGCCCCATAGGAGACGCATCTGAAATTCTGTCTGGAAGATCTCGCGGATTTCTGCCCGCTCCTGGAATCCTGGAGAGAAAAGAGGATGTTAGTATTTGTAGATAATATTGTGTTCATGATGATCATGGTTAAAACAATGACATAACCATAACTCAGGACTTACATCAACACTCTTCTCCCTATATATCACCACTTCAGGTCAAAGTATAACAATTAAGCCAGTTCTATTTACTGATGAAGACCATGAGAAAAGGTTAAAAGCTCTTAAAAGTGGACCTTTAAGAGAATATTCTGTCACAGGAACAGTTCCCAAAATCAAGAATGATATCTGAAATACCCCTTTCTATGCTACAGATAAACTTAAGTTAGTTTTTGAACGTTAACATTTTGAGCTGAACCAATTTTAACAACTGTATGAAGTGAGCATCTCAACTTTGGCTCAGAAATGTTGATGAGGGGAGCAGACTGAGGTCAGGCTGGTCGATGGCGAGATATAACGAGAAACAGAGATGTGAGCTGATAGCTATTGACACACTGTTCAATAAAACAGTAATGGCCTCCAAGTGAGAACCATTGGGGAGGTATTAGGGATCAATACAGTTAACACAGTAACCACACACACACAGGATCACTACATCAAATCAGTGATACTGGACACACTCAATATTATTAACAACGATGCATTAACAGTATGAGATGTAACACAATGCCATCTGTGCCACAGAAGCATCAGAGGCTGTGGTAAGAAAATGCCTTATTCTCATCATTTCTGTCAGTTGGTATGGATAAATGATTAACACACTGACTGTATTAATGAGCTTAAACCAAACAACATTAGGGATAAAGGGATGGTGCTTTTTCTACAGCCATGCTCACACTTACTGTGCTTTAAATAAAATGCTAACATTAGTATACCAACACAATGACAAGACTAATATGCAGTCTAAGATGCTGTCCAAGTTACGTGTCATCTTTGACAATGTCTCCCACCCACTGCATGAAGTGCTGGTCGAGCTCAGGAGTGCACTCAGTGCACGACTCATTGCTCTGAGATGCACCACGGGAAGTCATTCTTGCCTGTGGCCATCAGCTCCTCCTTCACTCAGAGTGTCAGACAGTCTGAGTCAATAGACTGGCCCTTGGACTTACCGGTCGGCAGCCATAACCCCATAGATTATTTATTATTTATAATTTCAACTGTGCAATGCAGACTTCACTATACAATATGATGCACTGACTCAACTGTACTGTATATGTGCAGTACTTCACCTGTGCAATAATTCAACCGTGCAATCGTGCAATAATTCATTTGCACTCTCTTAGTTACTATATTCTTGCATTTATACTTAACACACTTTGTAATACAATGCACATATTTGTATCTTAACCACAGGGATTAATAATGTATTTCTTACCTTATCTGATGCTAAGCAGGTAAACAGTAATGTTTACTATACGGACCAATTGCCTGACCGACCAACAGACCATCAAACCAAAGATGCCATACATAGAGCAAAGCCGCTACCATGGCTAAAAACATCCCAGATGCTGTAGCGCCTGTTTCAACAAACTAAAGTTCTAGACCGCTTAGTCTGTGAGTTGTTGCAGTTTTGACTCGTGTTTCTGGTTCTTCTCTTAAACCTTTGAACCCTGAGCGAATTGATGCAATTTCTTTCAAAAACATGGAAAAAAGGCTATCAGCAAACTTGGTAAAAAATTACCACAAACTGCAAAAAAAAATTATAGATTAAAATTAGGAAAAACCTATATTACAATTATTATTATTACTACATTTCAAAATTATGTTACAGAATTAAAAAAAAATTAAACACTCTTTCCAGTTCATTTCCTTGTTTGTTTGTTTTCAACATTCTTTCTTTCTTCTTTTTTCCCCCCACTAATTTTCTTGCTAATTTTTGGGGGTAATTTCTTCTTTCGTTGCTCAGTGCCTTCTTCCCATGTTTTAAAAAGAAATCAAGCAAATTTGCTCAGGTTTCAAAGGGTTAAGATCCACAGTACTCACACGAGGCAGGGAAAAGGTTCATTGAGAACCCAAAAAAGGAAAAACAAAACAGCAAGCAAGTCCTTCCAAAATTACATCTCATACAGTCCACTACCAACTCACTGTCTTATTTCTATATATTATTATCGTATTCCCGTTACTACACTTCAACAAGGCATAAAATGGTCCAAGACTTATTACAATCCAAATAAACACTAACTTCACGTCGTCTTTACACACGACGTTGTCCACAATTCCTACTGTCAAGCGCACTAAACTGCCTTACAGCACCATACCTGGCGTAACATATACAGAAACATTTGTGTAAACTTAAATATCACCAGAACGTTTATGATACGTCATATCAACACAGAAATTCTTACAAAATATTAATAAGATGCTTCCTCATTAAATGCTTCCAAAGACTATCCTCGGCCTTACCCTGCAGTTTGGTCTCAGCGTTGGTTCTATAGATCCCCCCGTGATGTGCGATGGTTCGGGCTGCCTCTAGGTGGTACATGACCACGTCTACTCCAACTTCTGCACTCTCCCAGGGCTCCAGCGTGTCCCCGATAACCATGCCCCGCTCCAGTAAGGAAAGGACGGGAATGATGTGGGGTAGGGAGGTGTTGGAAAGGGCATTCGACTCTGTAAGCAAGGGGTGATTTTTCAGTTTTGAGTTGTTAATATATACCCACACGTGCACATGACTGTAGAAAACATGCAAACACGTACCAACTATGTGAACTCACCTTTGCCGTCGTTCATATTCTTCATGAAAGGTTTGAGTTTCTTCTCATATAGAATGGCGCCCTCTGTGTGTCTCTGGCGTAATGTCACCCACGTCTGTTCCAGCCGGGAAATCTGAAACAGTGAATTTAATAACAAGAAACTGAAGAATTCATTCAAGAAAAACAAATCATGACAGCCTTAAGAATTTTTGTTCTAATGACTGTGACTTTAATCTGTATCTCTCATACCTGTGGCAGCTCCAGGGCTCTCATCACAGCAGCAAAGCCAAACATGTTCCCCAGGTTGCTTTTCAACTCTGCTGCCAATTGGATGGTCTTGTGCAGCAGCGCCGCCCTCTCCTCTGTGCTTCCCGTACAGCCTAGCAGGTCCACTGCCATCATGATAGACATGGTGTAGAACCTGAGAAAAAGAGAACGAGCTGTTCAATAAAACGCGTCAATAAAAGTTAATTACTGCTGCTGATAGGGAGGCAGAAGATGTCGAGTCAAAGCCTATTTTTGAAAACCACTCTGGATATTCACATTGTGGCAGACTGTAGTGTGTTACAAGATAAGAACAGAGGAGGGGAGAAAAGAGAAGAGAAGAGACGGAGGAGAAGAACAGAAGAGCACAGATAATCAATACCTGAATTAATGAAGGGGGTTAGTGAGTGATCTATAAAGTAAGATAGTGGGGGGGGGGGAGCGTGTTTGTACCTCTCCAGTAAGTCAAGCCTTAGCTGGTGTCCATGCGGTAATGTCAGTAACTCCAACCCTGAGGATACTCCCATCATCCTTTGCATGTCTGGGGTTACGCCTAATATTCGAGCCACCTGTCCAAGAGGTGAAAATATGATTAGTCGTATGTGTGTGTGCCTGCAACTGCATTATATTTGTGTGTGTGTATGTGTGTGCATACCGTGCAGTCTGCCATGGTGATGTGTTTAGCCGTGGTCCTTGCATCCACCTCAGCCAGCAGCTCTTTGACTCTCTTCAGCACTGACATCTCCAGAGGCTTATTCTCAGCTGGCAGAAGGCAAGACTCGTACCTGCACAAGAGTGATTACACCGCATTAAAAAATACTGAACTGGGACAGAGACATGAGCACAGGCAAGGACTCAAAGTGTGTTGTAGAGAGAAATAGGTTTCAACAGAGTGTTTGGTAACATGGTAGGCTCATACAGTGGTCCAGTTTTTTGGTTCAAAGAAAATGCATAGTTTATGACTTTAATAATACCATTTCCCACCAAAATTAGTGTGTATATGCAGGTTTTTTAAATGAGGGAAAAACCACTAAAAATAGCCGATTGACTCTGGCAACAGACAGATATGTTATGATCCTGGTCTTTGCTTATCTTGTGGACTTTGTTTTGGGGTTTTCTAGTTGTATTTGTTTTCTTCCTTCTTTCGTTATTCATAAATGTTTAATCTGTTTCCTGTTATTTTGTAGATCTCTCCTCATGTGTCATGTCTGTCTTCCTTCAGTCTCATTAGTCCTTCCCCTGTTCCCAGGGTCTTCCCTTCAGACCTGTTCTGTATTAGTCTTGTCTGCTCCACCCTAGTGTTCCCCACCACACCCTTGTTGTAAGCCAATCCCCATTTCCCTCCTTTTGCTCATGTCTTCCTGCTCCAGCTGCGTGTCATTCTTGTGATTCGTTTTCTGTGTACATGTACATGTGTGTTACCCTTTGTTCCTTGTCCCCGTTTCGTTTTGGAGTTTCACTCACCTGCCCGTTTTGGATGTTTTTTATTAGCTTTATTAAAGCTCCTCCTTTGTTCTAAATCAACTTGCCGACTGCTCTGCATTTGGGTCCCTCCCTGGACTGTGGGTATGCCTTTTAGGCTTGGGCAGTGTCATGGTATTATGGTATACCAGGGTATTTAGAAATTCGATGGTATGATTTTGAATACTGTAAAAAAATATATATATAGTTGCTACTTTTTCCTTTAACACTCATGTGAAGACACTGCATGAGGATATATTGTATTTAGTGGACATCACTTGCCACCAGAGGGCAGTCTCTACTGGTGGGACAAGCAGCTAAGCTGATAAACATGGTGACTGAAAAGGGTGGGGATAATGTTACAGGACTGTAAACACCCAGCTAGCAACAACAAAGAGAGAACGTGGGGATTAACAGCACATTTTCTCATCTAACTCAGAGAATTAAGGGTTTGTTTCAACCAAACCAGAGTTGATGATTGTTAGAACAGTAGACTAGCTAACTAGACAGAGTAAATAAGATGGTTTTGGTGAGCTTTATTTTGTTTCGGTTGAGCTTGAATAAAGTGTGTTTTACTGAGTTTAACGGGGAAATTGACCTAGTCTTAGTTTGGTAAAGAGAGAAACTTGAATTTAGAAGGTGTACCGTGTTTGATGAGGAAAATAGGTATATGAACATAACATTTATTGACATTTTGTGAGTTTATGTTGTTTATTTATTAGACTGAAAGAGGCTCGCTGGTCTGGGGGTGTGGGGTGGTAGGTAGTGTCATACACAATACCCTCATATACCATGTGCCCTGGTGAAATTTCAGTAAGGTATTAAAACACAGATACTGCCGAAGCCTTATGCCTTTTTGGGTTTTTTTCCATTGTGTCACCTATGACATCATGAAAGCGCAAGAAAACAGGGTTAGTAAACAGTAGAAAGCAGCACAGAGACCAGTGAAAATGTTACAGTGAGGGAAGGGGAAAAATTTAACATGTCCACCCAGTATCATGAGTCCATCACTGCCTATTAGAGCTGGAGTTGACTACTGCATTATTATTTTTCCTGGTGATAAATGCTGATTGTAACCTTTCCCACTAAAACAAAAGCCAGATGTTAGTTGATTTTTTGTCCAGTAGGAAAAAGGCTTAGTTGATCATTCAGCAAAAGGGGCCAAGTTACTGACAAATGACACTCAACACTAGTTCTAACATTAGTGTCACTGTGTCCTAATCATGCTGCATTCTCTTTAACCAGCCAGCCACTCTCTAGCTCCCACTGGTGCCTCAATCATAAGTAGTTTTTACTGCCTTAACTGCCAATTTCCTCAGTAGTGTTAACACTGACAATAATCCCCCTGCACCGAAATTTCACAGGGGACCCTTAGATGTCCAAAGCTGCTGCCTGCTCCATCGCTGCTGCCAACTCAGTGTACCTGACCGTTTTCCTTTTACAAGCCTCATCTGTCCTCCCATGGCACCGTAAGCCCAATAAAATACAGTATCTGCTGTGCCTCTGACCACAGCACAAAGTCTGCCCTCGGGCTATTTCCCACAGGATTATCAGCTGTTTACTCAAGTCTATTTTCCAGTCTCTGCTCACTGATAGCCGTGCTGCAGTACCTGGTCTCATTCCACTGTTCCTGGCCTCTTTGACGAAATGTCAGCAGGTGTATTGACCTTTGAACATACCAACTTAAATTAATCCTGCAGGAATGATGAGATCTAACTGTGTCTGCTATATTGGTTTCTTCCCGGCTCACTTCAGCAGTTGTCTTCATCGACAATTAAAGGGAAGTCTTTTCAGTTTTTACTGACTCAGCCGAAATCAAGTAACTTGACATACAAGAAGAAGACGTCGGGACACATTTCGGTACCTTCTCTTTGTTCGTGGTAGGACTCACTCACTAAACTCCAAGAGCTGTTTGTGTTGTGAGTCCTTTTGATAAAGTACTTTTTATCATGTTAAAAGAGAGGCTAACTCTGCTTTGGAAATACCCCAAAATGCAAGTTTGGAAGTCTAATCCTGTGTGTCTCGTACCTGGATGGCCTGAACGAGGACGCTGTCTCCACCTGTGGGGCAGTAAACATCCCCTCTCCATCCTCCCTCGCTCCGTCCTCCCTCCCTTCTTCCACTCGCAATCGCTCCACGTAGCCCTTAGTTGGGGGTTTAGGGGGCCCAGCGGGGCAAGGTCTGAGGTCGCAGTAGCTCCCTGCTGTTTCCGAGGAATGTGATTGGTAGCTGGGGTGATGGGCGGGCGTGGAGTGTGCCGAGTGAGATGTGTGCGCGGGATGCTCTGGAGGGTTGTTATCGGCTGAGGGGCTGAGCTGAGGGTCGCTGGAAAGCCGCATCACAGCAGGGGAGGGTGGGACGACAGCCAGGACCCGCCCGCCTGAGTGGGCCCTCTGCCTGGTGACTGAAGAAAGACAGAAGAGTCTTAAAATCACTTACGCAGATTGTGAATGTGCAGGGGAGAGCTTATATTTCTTATTCATGCGTCTCAGTGTGTGTGTCTCTGGCACTTACTAGCACTGTATGCAGGAGACAGTGGTGTTTCCCCAACAGGTGACAAGGGGCAGCGGTACTCCTGAATCTGGTCCATGCTCATCGCACAGTTCCGCATTGCGTCTTTATGGTGGTGGATTGTTGACGGGCTGCCGACACAGCATTTTTAGGGTGTTAAAAATCTTTGGGTATGGATTTAAAAGCTGACAAGTCGCTGAGGGGAACCTCACAAAGCGGTGCAGTTTAGGGTGTCACATTCAGCAGTTTCAGATGACAGGAATGGTGTCGTTACAGATGCAAATGCTAATTATTCTAGGGTGAGAGACGAGGGAAAGTTTAGTCGGTGCAACCTTAAAGACAGTTCATCTACACTGATACTCTCGTGTTATTTATGAATTTAAACCATGTTTAGGGCTTTAAAGCAGGAGCAGAGAATGTAGTACAGGGTGGGAAAAGATTAATTGCAAATAATAAATAATTAAAAGGACAGTTAACCCCAAATCTTCCTCTGCTGAGCTCTAACCTTAGCTAGCTCAGTGGTACCAGATGAGCTAGTTCAACACTCGACAACTCACACCAAACCAACCAATCCAAGAAGAATGTATGTTTGATTTTGGGGTGGACTGTCCCTTTAACTAATGTTTAAAGTGCATTATCACTGTTTTAAGTGCATTAACACTGGGAAATGTTTTCATCAATCATGCCTTAATCTGTTTTTTCCACACATCTTTGCTTTCTAAAGCCCAGCGGGCCATTAGTATTGGTTTTATCCCATGCTTTAAAAGCTTGCTCAACTCCGTTCCATACTCCCTATGAGACTTAAATTTATTTCCACTGTACACCACATATTTGTCTGCTCCTTCTTTGTAAATTCAAGTTTCAAACACCCTTGTTCTGCTTGAAACTTGACGGATCCAGTGAAGAAGTGGCCAAGTGAACGATTTATTTTGCAACTCCACTCTGAGGACAGGACGTGATGCTCATTAGGGGTGGTGCTGTCAAAGCAATGGTGTCTGTGAAGTGAGGGGACTGCGGGAATGTGGGAGGAAGGTGCACTAGTTTAGTGCTCAAACACAACACTAGTGTCACACACACACACACACACACACACACATACACACACACACAACCTGCAGTTGGGCACAGGCTCCGGCTCTGGTTCTGGTGGTGCCACTGGTGTCCTAACTGGACTGGGACTGTCTGAGTCACTGATTGTGTATATAACATAAAGCAAGAATGGAAGAATAAAATATGTTGAAGACTGCGAAGAAGATCTGTGAAGAGTTTCATTCATGGCTGCTCAGCTGTTGCATCTCATCCACTAAATGACACAAACTCTTTTTTTTCTCCTGGCTCACCTGTGAGGTATCATCTTCTCAGTCGTCAGCCCATCGGTCATGGTGACGCTCCGCCTCTTGATGTATGCTCCCCTCTGACTGGATGGTGAGTAGGCGGAGCCTTGCTTGCTGGTGGCCAGAGCAAAGGTGGCCTCCAGGTAGCGCAGAGGAAGAGTCCTGCTGACCGGACAGTAGATGTGGACACCGCTGGACTGGGAGACAGGTTTGCGCTGGCCCACGTAAAACCGCACAAGCTCCTGGACCGAGTCAAAGCTGTCGGACTCCAACATATACTGTACCTGAAGATGATGAGACGAGAGAATTAAATATAGCATCTTTGGGTTTTTGTAATTATTTTTCACCATGAGCATGTTAAAGGGAAGAAACCGGAGCATCTAATATATCATCTAGGAAGCAGAGACGACTCTCTGTTTTGTAACTGCAGATTTATTTGAGTGGGGAGCACAAAATGCTACTGTTCATCTAAAATTAGAATTAAAAAATATATATATATATATATTTCTACAGTGCTTAAAACCAATAATGGCTTTGCGCAGAGAAAATGAAACTGAAATCAAGATTTGGAGGCTCACACAGAGGCATGAGATTCGCAGCTGGTCAACGAGGCACACCTGCACCAAATTAGCCTGCCTCTGTAACTACTTCCATCATTAGAGGCAACAATAGGCCTCTTCAAATGGAGGATGGATCTTGACTTGCCAGGTGTGAGTAATTACGCCAAAAATGCACCACACTCAGGTATGGTGCTGCTCTGAAGTGAGATGAGAAGAAGAGGCTATGAGCAACACTGTCATGTCAATAAAGGCCGGTAAAGATGGTCTCAATACACAGGACAGGTCCGACACAGGTGTGACTAACAACATTAATATGGCCGTTCTAATGCCAGGGCTCTGGTGTTATGTATGCTGAGCACTGGCTGAGGCACCTTAATGGAACAGAGCCATCATTAATGTTATTAGTTACACCTGTGCTCTCCCTGCTCCCACACAGTAATGGACTGAGTGACTTTCTGAGTGATGACAGTTTGATTGTTTGATCCTTTGGCATTAAATAAAGCCAAGAGAAAAGACAACAACAACAGTAGATTCATCTTCCCTTCAATGTGCTCAGTGTCTTGTCTGCAGAATATAAAGTAAATGCAACAAGGTAAAAGACATCACATAAGAAGTGATGAGTGCTGAAAAGACAGTAAAAGCTTTAAAGCTAAGTTCAGGCATAGTCCACAATGACACAGGTATTTTTTGTAAACAGGATTTTCCCTCCTTCATTCTCTAAAAAAACCCCTGTCCACACACACTGTTATTACAAATATCTCTCACCAAATAAAAGCGCAAAAACACAAGTGGAGTCAAAAGCATGCAAAACCAACAGGCAGGCTGTTACCCTAGAGCAATGGTTTTCAAACGTTTTTGTGCCCAAGGTACACCAAAGGACAAGCCAAAATCTCAAGGCACAATAGCTTCTATAATGTGTGTTATCACTCGTTACAACATAAGACAATAAAAATAAGGAAAAAATAAGATAGCAGCAGCAGCCTTAAAAAATATCTGTTATGGGTAGGCTACCTAGAGCAATGACCTCTGTAGTGCATTCTGACACCTCTGTTCCTCAACATGCTGGTAGAATAACTGCACATATATGTGTAAACATGTAAAAAGTACTGTTAGCAAGGTTAAAGCTGCACTAATTTTATGACGTCCACTATTGCACAAAATGTCACCTCATTTGTGACACCTCAAGGAGGAGATAACGATGCACAATCTGATGTTACAAGCCAAAAACTCCTTTTATCAGTCCACTCCTCAACACTGAAAATAGAGTTTCTGAAAATCTTCATCCTGAAGTTTTACAGAAGGTTTGTTTATTAACGGACCTAAAATGCATTTTGCAAACGCCAAAACGCAAAAAGCTACTTTTTGCAAAAATACCTGTGTCCATGTGGACAAGGCCTTATAACCAAAAGTGATGTCATCATTATCTTGCATAAAGCTTGACGCCTCTGCAACTTGCCACAGCATTTGGTCTTGCACCTCTGAATTTTTGTAACCAGGCCCCTGCTGGGCTTTTCAGACATAACTGACACAACTACTGATGAAAGCAAGCAACTTTTAAATATATTTCTGTCTCAGGTTTTAAGACAAATGTTACAAATTCATTTTCAAATACTGAAAAAACCAGGAGACCTTAAAAATCTACATTTGAGTAAATCTTTTGCTAGCAGATTAAAACTGTTTACAAGATATTAACCTTTGTGTCATCAAACATTTCTTGCTTCAAATATTTGACTCCTTTCCTTACACGGATACTATTAAGGCAATTAAGTATGTCTACAAGTATCTGATTTGAAATATGAATTTAGAGTTATTTACAATTCCTTCTCAGAATCGAAGGGTTGCATATTTGGTCTTTCATTTTTGGTCTTGTTTGTAACACTCATTGACTTCTTACTTCCTCACAAAATACTTAGTTTGTACGCACCCTGGCATTTCAGAGAATACTACAACTAATAACACATTGGCCATAAATGCCTTTGTGCGTGCTTGTAGCTTGAGCACCATGGAGTATAGACAGGGCTTAATACGTACCTTGGTCTCACTGGATTTGACCAGGACTTTGCTGATCTTGAAGTGCAGCACCTCATTATCCCATCGACAGGTCAGAACGTAGTCACCCACACTGGTCAGAGAGTCACGCACCAGGAAGTCTCCATTACGCACAACCAGAGTCTCTGACACCTAGACAGAGAGAAATGTGTATATGGTTTTAAGTTGGTTAAACAACACAAAAGGCTCCACTCTTAAAAAGCTGGAAGCAAACTTGGCTCATCGAGCTACAGCATGTGTGTGAATATTTTCTTTCTGTCACTTTGTTGAATAATTGAATTTAGAGGATTATTTATAAAAAACGCCCGAGGACAGTTTGTGTTTCTGAACAAACACGACTCTCTCGCTCACTGCCAAACTGTCTCTGCTGTTTGAATTGGCAATGATGGATAAAATGCCAGCATCGATGGCCGCTACTACTTTCCGAGGATGCGTTTTGTCAAGTTCAGCACTATTGTAAAGATGAGAGTTATTTTAAATTTATTGACAAAGCAAGCAATCCAGAGAAAGCAATCTCCCATTCATGGTCAATGTAGCAGCTTCAGGGCTGTACGTCTTGCTGATCCCAAACACTGCAAATGTGTCTCTGGTGTCTTTGAGAAGAGATCGCAAATATTGATCTAGCACTCGCGCAGGAAACGAGAAACATGTTTCCAGCTGTGCAGAATTCCCTTTTAAAACTACCTGCAAAGAGACTGCTGATGAAGGCTGGAGGTGTGAAGCTTTAAATTCTCTCAACACAGGAAACAAGGCATGAAATATGCAATGCAACACAGCACAAGGTAAACAGTGCTTCACAGACCAGCAGGAGGCAGTATATACACAGATCAAAGGCTCAGAGTGCAGGATGCTCTTATCTCTCCCATTACTAAACATCATTGTGTTGTGGTGTTTTTTTTAGCTTTTATATCTGATTTCTCGCTGCATTTAAGAAGATATGTTTTACACTGACAGTTTGGAGCAAGATATATAAAGTAATATGACTAAAAGGAGAGCAACATACACTCATGACTTGTGCACATGCTGGAAGTCTTCACTTTAAAAGGGAAGAACAGAAGAAAACAAGGAGGAAGTAAGGATATGAAGTACAGTGCTCGCTGCACACAGGGTGTGTGTGAGGTGTAGTCACTAAGTATTGTTTTGGTTACCGGGGGACTCAGGGTTTCCCCGAGTTTCCACTGGGGCACAAGCATGAATAAATGAATATTTTATGTAAATTAAAAGAGGAAAGACTCACAGATGGCTGATTTGAATCTGTGTCTGTGTTTACGTGTGTGTATGTGTGTGTGTGAGAGAGAGAGAGAGAGACAGAGAACAGAGGTTGATCGAGAGACAGAGGCAGCGTCTATGAACGAGGACCCTCCACATGTGCATGCAGTGTGTGTGTTGTGTGTGTGTGTAGTAAGCGTGTGGGCGGGTGCAAGTCTGTTGTTGTGTGTCTCTGTGTATCTGCGTGTCAGTCACCAGCTGTGAAACTCAATTGCGTACATCAGCAACACACACAGCTGTCTGTTTGGCAGAGTTTCCCCTCCTTCTGAACGCTGAAGCAATTTTCGACTGAGCTGTGACAGATGATGGGATTCAGTAATCAGTGTCATTCTGTGTGTAAAGCGCTTAAACTGTGCTTTCAAAGCCAGAGACTTTGGCCAAGTAATCGCTCAACTAACACTACTGGTTGTCAACCACATCAACCCACACAGATATACTATTGTGTTTGTATTTTTATCTCGTTTAATTCTGGCTTTTTAAAATATATCATGGGATGTGTGGAGGAAGCAAACCACAGCAGCAAAACATCTTTTTCAGACTGTATTTATTTATAATTTATTCCACTGCCACAGGCTACACAGACTGACAGACTGTGATGTGAAGTTTAACTAAAGTCTTTTATTCATATCTTCTTCATAACTAAAGGTTTGAAAACTGATCATTGATTAGTGATAAATTATGTTTTGGTTAATAATGGAAGTTTAGTGTGTTAGCTGAAACACATCAGACCAGAGGTGGGACGAAGTCATTGTTTTGCAAGTCACAAGTGAGTCTCAAGTTGCACCCAAGTCCCAAGTCATGTCCCACTTTGAGTTTTGAGTCCTACACAAGTCATGATGCACTCTTTGCCAAATTTGATGCTGTTTTATAAACAGATTAACACAGAAAATCTACAAAACTCATGAACGCTTTTTAAAATTTGAAGTTATATGTTGGAAAAAAAGTTTGTTGGAAGTTGCTGCATCTGCATGTCTGTAATTTTCAAAATAGTTTTTGTACGCGTATGAGATTATCTTTGATATGTTTTTGTCCTATTTGTACTTAATTGGATGCCGCTGGATCGGTTTAAACAAAGTGGATCATTGGAATTCAATGCTGACTTGCTGGGAATGAATAGAGTTAATGTTAGTTGATTCAGGACATGAAGAGATATAAATAAACACGTTTTTTAATCTTTGAGTTTGGGGGAAGATACCAATTGTTTTCAAATCAAAAGGCTCTTGTCCAAGTGAAGTCACGGGTCATTAGTGTTAACCAAGTCAAGTCGCAAGTCTTTTTTTGATTTTGTCAAGTCTCAAGTCATCAGATTTGTAAGTAAGTGAAGTGTATTTGCAAAGCTCTTTTCGCAGACATATATACACACAAGGACATTTACAACACACAACAAAGAAATCATAGCAGATAAAAGGACCACTCGAGCCCTGTATTTAAAAGTGCAAAACTAAGAGCACAGTGCGAAACGCAAAACACAATACACATCAAGAATACACAATATATATATATATATATCTATTTAACCAAAATGCCTGTCTAAACAGGTATGTCCTTAGCTGGCTTTTAAAAGAAACCACAGAGTCAGCAAACCACAAGGGTGTGGGCAGAGCAGTCCATAATTTAGGTGCTTGATCACCACGGATCTTAAGACGGTGCCAGGGACAGACAAATTTGAGTCCAAAGCCTGTGACTTGAGTCCACAGCTCTGCATTAGACTATGTGATTTAGACAATGTAAAAGTGGGACTATTCCCCTGGAGTCCATGGTGATCTTATTAAGTGTGTTGTTTTGTTTGACCAACAATCCAAAACCCAAATAAATTCCATTTATAATGATGTGACAAAACCGAAAGTGGTGAATTCTGTCATGTGAGAATCAGAGGATGAATGAGCTTTTCCTTGAAAAATGAGATAGCTGCTGATTCATTTTGTGTCAATCAACTAATCCATTAATTGTCTAATAATTTTAGCTCTAATATACTTCGTTCGTGAGGGCTGCAAGCATGTGTACTGTATATATATGTGTGTACCAGTGTATGTGCTGGGACATACTGTAAACAGGCAGTGCGTTACCTCGCAGATACACTGCGTTAGATGTGGTATCTGTGCATCCATCTATTCTCAAACACCTATTCAGGACTCGCAGTGTCACGACTCTCTCTATACTCTGCTGTGCATGTATACAGATTCCACAGTGGACCTCACAGTTTGTTTACCTCTCTGGGTATGTGTCCATGGTACCAGCCATGGCTCCTGATGTCAGCAGCGCTCAGTTTCAGCTCCTCCTCCAGCTCCTTACGAAGTTTCTCGGGGGGAGACTCCAGCAGGTACTTCTCCTTGGAGAACTGCGTGGAACAAACACAAAAGACATGAGTGGGAGGAAGTTTACACATGGGACTCCTCACATGAAGCTCATAAAGCCTATTCACATGGAAATGAGCCACAGATTAGCCTCTATATAACTTTTATTTGTTCAGGTAAATCCCAGAGAGATTTGGATCTAATTTCCAAGAGCGACGAAGGTACATACATTTATTTATACGCGCATAATTTACAATTTACAATACAGACAGGTGATGAAAAATACTTCAGTTCAGACCATGAAAAAAAAAATCTTGCAGTATAGTAACACTGTAACATGGGCGTATGCTTCCGAGCTACAGCAGACCGTAGAGCGCACACACAGACATGCACAAAACGCACACACACCTGTGTTACAGAAGGTGACACTGCAGGGAAGCAACAGTGTGTGCTGTCTGCCACAAGCATGCGCACACATACTCAAGCACACACACACACACACACACACACACACACACACAAAAGAAAGAAACAATCCAATCGACCCTGACCTGATTACTAAGAGGGAGAAATCATCATGAGTACGCTCTCATTGTTCTCATGTATAGTGGAGACCTAACTTCAGTTTTTTCGAGTGTGGTCACCCAGGATGGCTTATAATCATGCCAAATACACACGCTCACAAACACACACACACACACACACACACACACACACACAAACAAACAGATCAGATTTTAGATTTCAAAGCTTCGTATTTCTGTTTGCACTGAGAACAGCGCTTGGGTGAAATCTGGGTTGTAAAACATGAAAATAAAGAAAAAATGAATATTTTTATGGTTATTTAAATACAAATACTCCTCAACTGTGTGTGTCTGAGATAATTAATGTGTATATGCAGGTTCTTTAAACGCAGGAAAAGCCGTTAAAAAGGTGAGAGACTGTTTTCCCATTGCCAGAAGACCAGTATGCCTTTCATATTTCTACTGGTAAGTCACATTCAGCGTCACAAATGCACCAGGAAACAAGATTAGTAAACAGTAAAAGCAGGGAGCCCAGTGAAAAAAAATTAAGGTTGTTACTTCCTTTTTATGTCTGTTACTTATGTAGTCTCTCATTCAAGCTCAGTGCCGACTAATTTGGAAGGATGTTCGAGTGCTGTTTGGGCAGAGACGCACAGAGTTTGTGTCTGAGATAACAAAGACAACAGCCAGGTGTTAGTGGGTGTTAGCTGGCTTTTTGTCCAGTGGGAAGGAGGCTTTCGGTGGTACTGACAACTGGATTGTTTCAGTCGACAAACTCTGAGAAGAAACTATGCACAATAAGTGAAGATGTCTGAAGACAGTATGTGTTCAAGTATCTGATCTACTCAGGAAAAAATAAGAAATCCCACACTGGGACCTTGATGTTACGTGATGACACCATAACAACCGCTGATTGTGGAAAGATTGAGTTCAGATAGATGATCTTAGAGGCAAACGGGACATGCACACACACACACACACAAACTTAAACTCTTACACAAATAACCTCAAAACACAAGAAATCCACACAGGAATAAACAGCGAAAAGGAACTCATCTCGACTCTGCCAATATGAGGAGAAATGAGACTAGAGACCAAAATAAACAGTAAACAGCCCTGTCGCTAAGGCTGGCCTGTCGTTCCCCCTAATATTTTCCTTCAATCTCTCTCCCTCTGTCTCCTCGTCTCTATCCCAGGCTCAGTGTTTTTCTCCTACTTTCTCTCAGGCACACTCTTTTCCCTCTTGCCCACTGTTCCTCTTCCTCTCTGTTCATCACCACAATCATAAAGTTTCAGCAAGTTGTTGAACTTTTGCTGAGTGTGTGCGACACTAACAAAGAGAGTGTGAGTGGGGATGGCAAGCTGTGATAATCTGTGTGTGTGTGGGGTGTGTATCTGCCTTCCCGCACGAGTGTGTGTGATATGAGGGGACTACAAGAGCCAAACAATCGATCTTATCGTCTCCAGGTCACTGCAAGATGAAATTATTAACTTCCTCCTCTCCCTGCTCCTCTCCAATCCTCGGGGGAAGATGGAGGAATATCGCCGTGGAGGCTCACTCTCCCAGATTAGATTTGAGGTGTGTGAGTGTACATGTGAAGGGGAGAAGAGGCCAATAAGAGAGCAGAGGGGTCAAGTGTGCAGTTATTGCTTTTCCTTGTCTCCCTGGAAACCCAAGAGAGGCCTGCCACTGAAGTGATGCCCCACAATGAACTTGGTGTGGAAAAGTGTGTGTGTGTGTGTGTGTGTGTGTGAAGGGTTATGGGGCAAATTGAAATGTCAGTGGGGCTCTATTTATGATATGGTTCATGGAATAGGCTGACATCAGGAGGGACACATTCAAAGAGGGGGGAAAATGGATTGACAATAAAGCAGAGAAAGTAATTTGACAAAGACGGAAAAAATAATCTTTTCTGTCTTCTAACATATGAGGGAAACAGAAAGTATCTGACACACACACACACACACACACTAGTAGCCTTCAATCTAAGTCTATCCTATGTTAATACTGCAGAGACACTCCTGTATTCCTTGTATGCCTGTTTCACTGGGAAATGTCTTCCCCCTTTTAACTTCAACTCAACCACGGAGACTTTGTGCTGTGTTAGCACACACACTCTCCTCTTACAGAGAGAGATAGAGGGGACAACAGAGATGAAGTAGAAGTGCGAGAATAAAGAACAGAAAATTCAATTCAGGTGAAATGTGTTGAATGGTGAAAAAAAGGGGTCGAAACAAAGGGAACTGGAAGAGTTCCTGGAGAACGCAGACCTCCACCAAGGCCAAACACCCAATCTCGCAATGTTAACAAAAGGGGAAACTAATTCCTGTATCCGCTCCGTGATCTGCTCCAAAATGTAATGGGTTTTTACCTTGGCCTGTGCTACACCCTTCCACCAAGTTTCACAAAATCTGGGACTGTAGTTTTTCTTTAATCCTGCTGACAAAGAGACAAACCTCTTGGCGACGGTATGACGTACAATGGGAGACATCTACAAAAACCAGTAGGATATTACTATTATAATTACAATAGGTGAATGCAGACCCTCACTATGCTGAGTCCTTGGTTGCCATGGCAACATATCATTATGTTCATTTGCCTGTTGGTGTGCAAGAATGTGTAAAGTCTTCTATCTTTCATCAACTATAGTAACTGTGTGCTGACTGTGTGCTACTGCTAATGCTACTAATATTATTGGTTATACTACACACTTATTTCTACCAACACTTACTGTACATCACTGATATCATCCAAATAATACTTAGATCACTGTTAGAAAACTGCCACGATTACTGCTGCTACTACGACAAGCACTACTATTAGTAGTAGCTCAGCCCATAGGGACTTGGGTTGGGAACCGGAGGGTCGCCAGTTCGAGTCCCCGTCTGGACCAAAATATGGAGCGTGGACTGGTGGCTGGAGAGGTGCCAGTTCACCTCCTGGGCACTGCCGAGGTGCCCTTGAGCAAGGCACCGAACCCCCCAACCGCTCGGGGCGCCTCACCAAGGGCAGCCCCCCCACTCTGACATCTCTCCACTTTGTGCATGTATAGGTCCTGTTTGTGCATGTGTGTGTCTTTCGGACCTGTGTGTAATTGACAAGCAAGAGTGAAAACATTGAATTTCCCCTCAGGGGGATTAATAAAGGAAATAAACTTAAACTTCTTTTACTAGTACTTCTACTACCAATTTTAAACATTTCTAGGGCTGTTAGCTGTTAGTTATGACATATATGTGTTTATATGACGACAACTGCTACTATTACTCTATGTTCTTATGTTTCGAATACATGGGCCAGATGTGGCCATCAAATAAGTTCCTAGAGCACCTCCTCTTTTTGCATTGTAAATATGGGATGAAAATAATGCAACGTTGGTTCAGTACATCGATTAAGATCCGTGGGTGTAAAGCAGAAAACCCTCCACAATAAGGATGCGAGTCCCCTCCTTCTCATGGTCAGACTTTGGGGACAATCTTAGTATCCAGGGAGTTACTGACGCCATGAGACGTCTAAAACTTCACTGGGTTGTCCAACATGCATAAAACGTACTCATCATGGCGTCCATGTCCTGAGCATGCTCTTACTGCTATGTTAATATTGGTACAAATACTACTATCAGCACTACTGCGACTGCCATACCACTGCTGCCTTTCGAATTTATATCACTCTCACTGCTGCTACCATTTCTAACAAGACATTTACTACTACTTCTACTATTACTTCTAAAAACATGGACACAGACTGTAGCAGAAGTTATATTATTACTACTGGTAGTACACTACAAAACTACAGTTTGTGTCCATGTTTTATTTGCAGCAGAAGTAGTGACAGAGCAACTATTTCTGCTATTACTACAGTAACTGCAGCTTGTACTTGTACTTTTACTGCTGACGAGACGAGACAAGACAAAGACAAGACAAAGACGAGACGAGACGAAGACAAGATGAGACAAGACGAGATGAAGACAAGACAAAGACGAGACGAGACGAGATGAGATGAGACAAGACTTTTCCCACATCGGGTAAATTCACATGTTACAGCAGCACAAGAACCAGATGCAAGAGAAAAAAGGAAAAAAGTGAAAAAAAAACCAATTAGATCAAATTAAAAAGAATAAGAACTATATACACTACTGGAAAAATACTAAAATACAAATGTAAGAAGGCCCCCTATTTGCTGTGTTGTGTGTTTCCTTTGGGTTTAGTAGCAGCACACAGTACATGACCATATTTCATTTGAAAGATATTGAAAGTCTAGGCAATTAAGAGAGTGGATCTATGAACACAACAGCCAAACAGAGCAGCAAAGAACCTCAGCTCCAAAACACAGACACCAACAGATTTATGAACCGAGAGGCAGACCGACAGAAGAGGCACAGAAGCAGACAGGTCAGAGACAGACGGACAAAACAACCTGCATACACAAAGACGAGACATCAGACATTCAGGAAGGCACAGAGGCAGACAGACAGACATAAGGAAAACTCATTAATGTAGACAGAGAGGCAGATACGCAGGAA